GAAATAAGAACACCACATTTCTTGACTTGCGCTTCACAGAATTCATTGTATTTTAAAGGAGTAAATGTTTTCAATTCGATGCCTAGACATATTAAACGTGCAACAACATTAGCAGAATTCAAGAGACATTGTATTTCACACGTTAAAACTGTCTTTTGAACAGTTATCCAGTGATTTTTATTTTTTTTTTTTATGAATGGACGAAGTATGTATCTTGACGAAGTTATTTATAACGGATTATTTTGTATGGATAGCTGTCATAACGACTTTTTAATAATTATTGTAGCACTGCAAAAACTATTTTGTTCGCCACGATGGTGATGATGGATTTTTTTTATATTTGAATTAAAGTAGTAGTTAAAAAAAAAAGTAGTAGTCTACAAAGGTTTGAGCCTCGCGCGCGTATTACGGATATAGAGGACTGAATTTAACATTTGATAAAAAAAATGCAACTTTGAAGCTTATTTGGAAGATACTTTGAGTTAGTATTAAGTTTTCTGGCTGAATGTCGGGGGTTCGTGAGCATTCCTGACATTGCTGAAAATTATAATAGCATCATTGCGGGGTTGCTAGTGTATAGGATGCTTTGTTGATTGTTCATTAACTCTTGATTGCTTGTAATTCTTATGAATATTCTAGGTGGACAAAAAGGCGAACTAAGAGGTGGACGCCTAAGCTTTTTCACATTTATGTATATTGCTGTGAAGCAACTGTAAAGTCTAGAGGGAATTTATATCTGTAACTGTAACCAGCTCGTTTTTGTTTGCTAACCTGGTTAAAATGTTTATATTTAATTATCTTAAAGATAAATCGTCCAGCTCAAACCTTTGTAGGGGTAAGAGGTGGGACCATCATCATCATCATTAGTTGAAAAATTTAATTCTATATCGTTTTCACAAGGATCTTGCTGGTGTTCAGCAATATTTTTGTTGAGATAATCGAAATATTAGAGTAGTGGATAAGACTAGTGATTATGATTTTCTGGATTTCTTGTGTGTCAATAGCTTAGGTTCAAATCTGTTCAGATCTGTGGAATATTATTATTATTATTTATCTTTATTAGGGAGGCTTTCAGCCTTGGGCTGGTTCGCCTCCATCTGTGGAATAATTATTCACACGCAAGAAATCCGGAAAATCATAACCACTAAGGTACTATTCTAATTTTCAATTTTTCTCAACAAAAATATTCCTGAACACCAGCAGGATCTTTGCAAAAACGATACAGATTTAACGAAGCAATAAAATTGTGTTGTTAGCGGAATGCTTTAAATAAAACAGCAAAAAATGTTATCTTTCATTTAATTCCACTTAATTAATTTTGGTATCCATGACAGATACGTATTTCGACTACAATGTGCAGTCTTCATCAGTGTAATTTCCCACTAAAAAAAACATAAAAACCTAACCCCCTTAAGTTCTTACCCCCTAGGTAAAAATGTCAAGATCACAGGTATAAAAATGAAACTGTATAATCGGAACCTACCAAACAAAAACAAAAACAATGATTTAAGTAAATTAAAGAAGAAAAATCGATACAAATCTCTAATAAGGAAAATTTCCAAAGGCTTGGTAGCCATCATAATGAAGTAATGAAATAAGAAGGTTAGGTTTTGATGTGTTCTTTAGTGGGAATGATACTGATGAAGACTAATTTTTTCAACTGTAAATTAAGTTTTGGAGCATCTCAGATTAATCAATTTATCAGGAAAAGTGAAAAAGTGTTCCGCATTCTATGTCTCACGGAAAACATTTCTGCTCACAACACTCTTTTTAACGTTCTCCTATTCACCACCAGAGGTTGAATCGACCGCTTAATTTCTATTAAAAAGGCCTATTACCGATGGTAATAAGGCTGTCCAAGAGACAGTTGCGATCAGCTGACTTTTTTGTTTACCAAGAACTTTTGACTGATCACAGTAGAACCAAACAATACGAAACTAACGATTTTTAATTGGCTCACTACTTGACTAGCCTATTGGTCCCAAGCAAACGATTAACGTATCCCATTCTAGTCGAAATTCTAGTACTACGCAATGTTTGTTTTGATTCGCTATGAAAGTTTGAAAAAAATTCCAGAGAACTTTATTGAAATCTTCGATTAGCTGGAGATTTTCCAAATACTTCCTGATCTTGATCCTAAAAACATTCAGAGGACCTACACTCAAAAAAATCTTCACGTTAATGCTACGTTAAAAATCACGTAACCCCTTGAAAATCCCACTCCAATCATTTCCACGTGCTTCACGTCAATATCAAATGAAATTTTAATAAAATTTACGTGATTTTCATGTTCGTTGATGCTACGGGAAATTCCCGTAAAAAGTAAGTGATAAGCATGTACACTCTGATATATAGTTGAAAAAAATTAATTCTGTATCATTTTTGCAAAGATTCTGCTAGTGTTCAGCAATATTTTTGTTGAGAAAAATGCAAAATTCCAATAGAGCCTTAGTGGTTATGATCTTCCGGATTTCTTGTGTGTGAATAGTTTAGGTGCAACTCAGTTCAGATGTGTGGAAAATCGTAAAATAAGACAATTACTGATGGAAATTGGCAACATGTTCAATGAAAAATGCTTTAATTTGCGTTGTGAAAAATCCTTCTTCTGATGTAAACAAACGGTTTGGTTGACTTTTCCTCTCGAACTCGCGTGGTGCCTTCTATACGTTGGTGGTGCATTGAAAAGGCCTATTGGCAAATCAAAGTTGGCACTCGTGGAGAATAGGAGAACTATGAGAGTGATGATGGGTTTAAAATTTTCCACGGGGAGGTATTCGAGTGCAATCTGAAAATGCTTTTATTTGCAAATGGAGCATTTGATTTAAATCTGGTTGCTGCTACAGTTGTAGAAAAGCTGACATTTATGTCTGCACCTAAAAATCTGAAAAGAAATTATTTTTTTCTATATTTTATGTCTATTAAGTAGTCCTTAAGTTTTCTACTAACGTAGCACTAAACAGATTTAAATAAAATTCTCCACTTACAAAATAAAAGCATTTTAAGATTGCACTCGTATACCTCACCGTGTAAAATTTTTAAACCCTCATCACTCTCATAGTTCTTCTATTCTCCACGAGTGCCAACTTTGATTTGACAATAGAAACTAAGCGGTCGTTTCAGCCTCTGGTGGTGAATAGGGTAACCCTCAAAATAGTGATGAGGCTGAAATTGTCACCGTCAAGCATTAGGAAGGGAAACTATTTTCACATTTACTGGTTAATTTATCCATCGCAGGTGGTAGAATTCGTCATCATCGTGGAATATTTTGTTTTCTATATCGATTTTGCAGTGATCCGGCTAATGCATCCTTATTTTTTGTTGAGAAAAATAAAGATTTATGAAATTATCCCAGCGGTTCTGATCTTTCGGATTAAAAATGCATGGCTATTTGAGCTGAACATCCGTTGAAATATGTAGACAATCTTAAAATAAGACCACTCCCGATGGAAATTTGCAAGATGCGTTATAAAATATGCATTCTTTGAGTTTAGCAAATAGTAATATTGATGTAAACAAACGACTAGGAAGACATTTCCTCTCATAACCGCCTTGCGCACCCTACATTGATGGTGCATCATAAGAGCCTATAAGAAGACGAAAATGTTTTCAGCTTTCCTGATTAATTTATTCATCTAATGTGCTCGAAATCGTCATCCACGTGGAATATTTTGTTTTCTGTATGGATTTTGCAGTGATCCGGCTGGTGCTTCAACACATTTTTGTTGAGACAAATGAAGATGCATGATCTGTTGAAAATGCTAAATTAAGACCACTCCCAATGGAAATGTGCAATAAAATATACATTAAGCTTTTAAAATCGTCACTATAATGTAAACAAACGGTTTGAATGACATTTCCTAACAAAATCGACTAGCGCAATCTGCATTGATGGTTTATCAATAGAGCCTATAACGTTTACGTCGGGTTGTAAGAACTTCACATTTTTCTGTTTTTCTCCTGATTTTTCAGATCTTTTTTAATAAAAATTTAATTTATTCGATGAGGCTCAAACGAATTAACTTTACAGAGCCGAGGATTCTTTGTCACTATACATTATATCTTAAAAATATAGTCAAAAGGTACAACACAATAAACAGTTTATCTTCCGCTATCCAAAAAGCATCCTCCATCAGAACTGGAGCCGCTTCCAGTGGTTTTATTGTATGGCAGTATCTCCAACGGGGGGCAGAGCGCTTCCATTGCAGCAATGGACGCAAAACGTGGCCAGCACTCACACATTCATCACGAAACGGTTGCTTTCCAAAGTCGACGACGCATCGACCGAAAGAACTGCTGATGAAGAACAATGAGAAGGACCACACAATGGTTGCTGCCGAGAAAACAGACGATCGCGTGGCACACATAGAGAGTGGCCTACTTTTGTCGACAGCCGAGTGAACACTCTTTTCAGAGTTTTTGTAACCAAGAATTTGTATTTACAGATCACTGATTTCACAGATTTTTAGGTTTAACACAGATTATACAGATTTTTCTTAAAATAATGAGTTGAAGGTTTTCATCATGGTTAAACATTTCGAAAAGTCTATTTAACTTGTTGAAAAACATTTTCTCGCGTAACATTTGAAAAGGGCCTATCCTCGTTGATCGATTCTCTTCGTCAACATTCTCTTTGGTTTACCACAGCATCATAAACGAATATCTCGCCAAGCTCACAGCACTGTTCGACAGAAGATTGTGTTAACTTGTACCTGAAACAACAAACTCGATGGAAAATGCATCTGCAGTCGCGTTATTCGCGATAGAAAAAATCGATTAAGAGAATCGATCAACAATGATAGGCTCTTTGCTCGTGTGACGCGAGAGTAACTGAACTGTTCACATGGTTATCAAATAAGAAAATCGATCAAAGCAGATAGGATCTTTAAAAATTTTCATCTAGATTTCTCCATAACCAAATGTCACATTGACATAAAATTGAAAAAGGCTCTACGGGTAACAAAAACACACCTACACACAAAATAAAATTCACTTCAACGTACATCATACTTTGAAACAATGTTCACCATCAATCACTGTAGAAATTTACGATCGGATGCGCGCCGTGGTTCGATTTGTACTAAGACCACATATCGATCTCATCCAAACCATTTGGTAGTTTTACATTATGATAAGGTATTTGCTTGCGTTGGAACAATCTTGACTAATCTACCTAAAAGTGCTAAAGCTCATTGCGGTCCCTTAAAATCAAAATATGAACGCAGGATGATGATTGTCAAAACATTTTAAGCTGAACATTGCATTAGGTCCTGAGTAACATTGATCGATTCTCTTCGTCGACTTTCTCTTTCGTTAATAACTTGAGCATATAACCGTTTCTTGTTGTGTTTTTCGTATTAAATGCTAGATAAAAACTTCTTTTATCGATCTGTGTGCTGAAAATACATGGGAATGTCTTTACATGACCGTGAGGATGCAAAGAGAAAGTCGACGAAGAGAATCTGTCAATGTTACTTAGGACCTAATGCAATGTTCAGCTTGATTTGTCACGTTACAAAGATATCCTTATGACCAAAAATACAGGTAACGGAATCTGGCTTGTTTATATCAAAATAGACGGGTCTGGGGGAAGGCAGGAAAGGCCTATTCGACAGTTTGACTTGATATTTATCAGCTTCTTACTTGTTAACTATTCTAAAGCTTATTCCGAACTTTTAAAAATAACGGCTAAACCAAGCAATTGTAAACAAATAATGAGAAAACCACGAACGAGTTCTCGTTTTTGCTCTTAAAAAAGGGAAATAAGGCACCACTCTGGTGGGCAGTTGAATACACGACGCTTTCGGAAAAAAAATTATCACTAATTTTCGCAATGCCTACCCGTTCAATTACCAATTTGACAAGAGATTGCCTGAAATTAGCTCCACGCGAGCTCCACCTTCTTATCGGGCTGTATTGTTTCTGTACAAATACACGCATCTCCAAATGGATTAAGCAGACATAATGATAACACCCATTCAAAATCACATCTAATGGTTCATTACCTCTAATTAAATCAATATACACCCAACCGAGAAATGTAAGATTCTATTACAGATTTGCATGAAAAGCATTCAGAATTTGTAGTGTTTCACCGCATGAACATATTCTGTAATGAGGTGGTCGGTTAGAGAAATTTTCTAAGAAAGTAGAAAATCTTCTCGTGAACGTACTTACCTAAAAATTTATTCTGGAAAACCTTACTTGTAAGCTGCAGTCCACTGTATGAAGTACCATTTCATTTATTGTTAGAACAAAACACAGAGAATGTAAGAAATCGACCCTGACATTTGATGTACATGTCATTTGTTATGCGTGTACTATCGAATGCGCGTCTTATTTGCTTTAGATAAGGAAGGTCAACGTTTGTAAAGAAGTCTATTGAATAATCGTAGGCATGTTTAACTACTATCAATATCAGACAGGTAACGGATAACGCGATCCCGTTATCAACCTTAACTGACAGGAATTCTCATCGAAAGAGCAGAGTTCTACAATCTGAACAGGAACCTTTCTGCTTTGAGCGGCACATGCACGCTTTGTATGGTTGAAATTTCTAAAATTTTCACTAACGTTACAACTCTCCAAAAGAGCGATCGCAACTCTGTTTCCTTCCATGAGGCAGCCATTATTTACCGCCAGCTCATGAGCAAAACCTGGTAAATTAAGCAACAAGCATTGTTCGCCCCTCGCTCCGGACACCCTCTCTCCAACTCGGACCGTGCTTAATTAAGTTTAAAAATAACTTCCCCTTTCCGGCAGCTTGGAGCCTTCATCAACCGAAGCCCTGGAAATGTGTTGTCCATACTCTACCAACAGTAGCTGTTTCCGCTGTTGGTTGGTTGGGTGTAATGATCATCACGATTATAGTGAAACAATGAAAAAGTGCAAACTTGTTAGTGCGGGAGCGCAGTGGGAGAAATTTGCTGACCAGCTGCTTCTCGTCTAGGATGCTGAGCGTTAAACTAAATTACTGTCTCGAAAGTGAGCGTTCCTATTAATTTAGGTACTGGGCGACGGGAAGGGATCTGCACTCAACTAATAAATTGTCGCCTGATTGAATTAAATTTCTAACATTCACGGAATAGGTCATCAATAAAATTGCCACGCTTCTTCACCTCCGATTGACCAGAGTTTCCAGAACTCACAATGAATCAATAAAAAATCGTAAAAATCAACCACCCAACAGACCATCACATTGAACCTATCGCGAGCAATCATCAGACGGCAGATTGGAAACTCGACGTTTGGATGCTGACGAGTGCCGATGGTTTTAATTGAATTAAAGCATTTTCTCCCCTCGATGAGCTCGGAAGACCGTGTCCTGTCCGTGTTGGTACCGAAATTGTACAGCTCTGACTGTGGTGGCGATTTTATTTCCATTTTCGAATGACGAGTAAGGGGCGGAAAACTCGCTTTCTCAAATTAAGTGCGATTTATTTAACGAAATTTACTGCTCCCCATTTAAGCACAGCTGAAGTTAGAGTAATGACTGGAAGTGGGCTGCGAATGGTCGTATTGGTCGGATAACTGTTGTCTGGATTTCTCCAGTCCGGTCGCATTGGATGGATGTGATAAGTGATGGCAAGTTGTTTCTCCTTCGTGTATCTGGACATCTGGTGGAAGTATTTTTACAAGAGTATTAAATTAGCACTTATGTCGAGTCTTCACTGGGAGATAAGGTTACTTCCACTCACTTCGCGTGCGGTGCACATGTAAACGGAACCGGATCCAAGTCTAACTAGGACGATCAAACTTGGCAAAACAACAAATTCTCAGCCAACAGCGTCGAGGATAAAGGCAATAGGTTGTCCGGTATGGAAGTCGCTAGATTACCACGGGTGGCGTCCAGTTTTGGATCGGATCGATCGGACAGAACGCTATTGACTTTCCTGTTGGCTCCAGGCAACGGCTAGAGTGTGGACTGTATGGGAGCGATTATCAACAGCAGCGATCGCAGCAGTAGCAATAGACATGAGGATGAAATTACGCTCGTTTAGTGAAGGTTTGAATATTAATTTATTTGATGTTTCTCGTTCGGCAGTAACAATAATAATGATGCGCTTTGACTTTTTTTGACGTAGGATTACGTCTTTCGGCAACATATTGGGAGTGCAATTTAAAAAAAAAACCAAAATCAACCGCAGGTTTTGAGCACATATAACTCTGTCAATAACAGATGGATCAGATTCTTAACAAGTCAATCGATTGGAAATTTATTTAGCAATCTGCTAAAATGAACAACTTATTAATTTTCAATAGGTCACTATTGAAAAATACACAAATGTTCAAGTGTTGCAATGGTGATCAAAATTATCACCGATTGTCTGCAACCAGCGCATTCCCTAACTCAGATTTAAAAATTGAATTCTATCCTGTCTCACTGAACGGCGCTCATTCAATCACCGTGTGTGGTGGTGTCCGGTCGTCGATGTCAGCAGCAGCAGCAGTGCTTTCAGCGCGTGGCTTTAGCATTGTTCTTCAGTACACCACGAAAGGCAGCCTGCAAGCAGCGAGCTGCAGGCCCACATGAGCATCCATAGAAGGAGCCGCACCGCTATGGATCGAAATCAGTTTCTTCGTAAGTCGCTGTGGGTCATCTATGCCAAGCGCGTCACCCTTGCTCTATATAACATACAGCTCGCCAGTCACATCCGCGTTGAACACCCTAATAGGTCAGCATTACTCAACCATCACGACAAAACGGTCCTATTCAGGACCACCATAAATTTGTTAAAAGGTATGTTTTGGATATTTGTCAAGGTCATCAGTCGGGTGTCGGTTCCCGCTCAGCATTACGACAAAACGGTTCTTTTTAGGATCATCATAAATTATTGTTGTTATTGAGTTAATTTTCATTAAACGTTCGCTCGCCTTTCTGCCAGCCACATCACACCCCAAAGCTCTATGACATTGTACCCAGCAACCAAATGTTTGTCTTCAAATGCGTAACAGTATTGAAATGGTATATACAAAGAATTATTCTCGCAATGACCGAATACCACATGACCATGTCAATGGACCAGAGATACTTCGTAAGGTTTTCTCCAGAACGCTAGAAAAAGGAAAAAAAAATCTTGAATTTATATGATTGATCACGATTGGAAAAATTTGAGCAAGAAATTCCTCCAATCAATATGCGCTTTTTTTATTATCTATTGAATAAAACAAAAATTCCGTTCGTTTTGTGCGTAGTTTTGTCATCAGAAAACAAGGCGTTTCCGTGATGGGAAAAGTGGTTTCCCTAACACAGTCGCCGAATATTAATATCAAGCACTGAGCATGCCAGTCGGTCTTTATGCCTTTTGATGCATATTGTAAGCCCCTCCGATTAAGAGCATTGGGCCAAAAAATAACCTTGCCGAATTTCTTAATAGAAGGGGCTTAAAATATGCATCAAAAAGCATAAACGGTACGTCCGGTAGACTAATATTCTGTGATTGATGTGTTTTCCCTATTAGGGGAAATGGCTCTAATGTTGGCCTATGGATCTAAGGCCCATCTGCTATTTTCAATTTTATCTAGACGAACGCGTCATTGGGACGGTACTAATGGATTCTTTTGGTCTCCATTGAAAATTTAGTCGATAGCTGAATTTATGTATGGGCCATTCATTTCCCCTACATATTTCATTTCCGCACTGCTATCATTTCCAGAGTATTGTTCTTAAGTAGCTTCCAACCCATCGTTCATTTTCAGGACCACAAATGACGAATAAAAGAGTAAGAGCTTGAATCCAAGACATATCGTCCAGGAATGGCTTGTACTACATGAACATCGACAGAGCACCTCACAAACAGGACTCTCAAATAGCTTCCCAATTTCAACCTATCGAAATTTTCACTGATAACGAGTTAAGAAATCAATTTAATATTTACTGTACTTTTACTATGACATCATAACTACGTTTCGTAATCCTACGTCAAATCTTCGATCGTGTCTTGGATACAACCTCTTACTTTTTTTACTTTAAATGATCTTTATTTCTTGGGTTTGTGTGGTTTCCATGTATGAATTTTCAAGTGACACAGATGCGTCTTTTAAACTTTAGTACATCCGAGATTTTAATTATTATTTACAGTTCCTAGTCCT